CACACAGACACACACACATGCGCGCACACACAGACACACAGAAACACACACATACAAACAAAGATGCGTAAAAAGAGATGCATACGTGAATTAATGCATGAATGAGATTCAACACGCCAACATACGTAGAACATACATACACACATACATATTCACTTACGTACACAACACACATATATACACACATACTTGCACACATTACTTACACTCACGATAACGCACACACATACACTCACACAAGCACATACACACACATACACACGCATACACACACACACACACATAAACTCACACACACACATACATTCACACACACATATATATAAACACATACATTCACACACACACAATTACAACATACATTCACACACACAATTACACATACATACAATTACACAAACATACATACACACACATACACACACACGTGTTGATGGAGCACCAGCAACAACACAATGGAAGGTTTGCGATAAAATTATCCCAAACACCCGGCAGTAAGCCACGAAGGTATGAAAAGAGATCGTCAACAACCTCCCATTGACGTTTATAACGCGCCAGGAATGAGAAAAATATCCACAACAATATTCGCAACGACAGCAACAACAACGACAAAAATTATTAAAAAAATTCACAACTACATTAAAGGTAACAACGTCATCAGTAACAATATTTTCAACAACAAAAACCAAAAAACAGTAAATAACCACGACAAAAACATCACCAACAACACCAACAACGACATCAACAAAAACAACAACACCATCATCATCAACAACAACAACACCAACAACATCAACTACATCAACAAAATCAACAACACTATCATCAACAACAACAACACCAACAACAACATTCGCAAGGCAAAATTCTTTGCAATCAACACATTCGCAAGGCAAAATTCTTTGCAATCAACACACGCCAGAGCGTAAAAACAGTTGTAACATTGAAATATATTGCATGCAACACAATCGAACCAACACAAAAACATACGGGCAGCCAACAACAACAACTGCAACACGCTGAATCACGATACCAACACAACTCTTAAAATGCAATAAAATACAATGCTGCCAGAAACATCTGCAGAAGTTAAGGAAATAAAATTTGGTAAACACGACTGTGCAAACCTAAATTTGATAAATCACAATCAACCTTAGAAGTGAATAAATAAATAGAAAGATACTGAATGGATACAGGATAGATATTGAATAGATACAGGATGAATACTGAATAGATACAGAGAGGATACTGAATGGATACTGAATGGATACCGAATGAGATGATGATACTTTGTCAGTACAGCAAACACACGATGATGAAGAGAACAGGAAATACAAGGGCTTCACTTAACACTTTGCTGCAAAGAAATATGCATCACATTCTGGCAAGACATCACAGCACCAATCACATCAACACCAATCACATCAACACCAATCACATCAACAACAATCACATCAACAACAATTATGACAACTCTAATGACATCAACTCTAGCTAACTTAGAGACATCGAAACATCAATCACCTAAATCGTCCAGCAACAATGAACAACCGACTTGCAAAGCGTCTAACAGCGCGAAAGAACTTCAACGCATGATTTAATTATTTAAAAAAAATTTTATTTCGGTCGATATGAATACAAACTGGAGAAGAAGAATGGAGAGGTGTGTTTGAAGGCGATCGATGGAGAACAATGGGAGGCTTCGTGAAGAATGCTGGCGAGTTCAAACATTGCTGTAAGTAAGTGACATCATCATGAAGGATGGAATGGAGGAGTGAGTGAATGAATGAATGAATGAATAAATGAATGAATAGATGGATGGATGGATGGATGGATGGATGGATGGATGAACGAATGAATGAATGGATAGATGAATGGATAAATGAATGAATGAATGAAAGATTGGATGGATGAATGAATGAATGAATGAATGAATGAATGAATGAATGAATGAATGAATGAATGAATGAATGAATGAATGAATGAATGAATGAATGAATGAATGAATGAATGAATGAATGAATGAATGAATGAATGAATGAATGAATGAATGAATGAATGAATGAATGAATGAATGAATGAATGAATGAATGAATGAATGAATGAATGAATGAATGAATGAATGAATGAATGAATGAATGAATGAATGAATGAATGAATGAATGAATGAATGAATGAATGAATGAATGAATGAATGAATGAATGAATGAATGAATGAATGAATGAATGAATGAATGAATGAATGAATGAATGAATGAATGAATGAATGAATGAATGAATGAATGAATGAATGAATGAATGAATGAATGAATGAATGAATGAATGAATGAATGAATGAATGAATGAAAGAATGAATGAATGAATGAACAACGAACGAATGAACGAATGAATGAATGAACAACGAACGAACCAACGAACAAACATCAAACGAACGAACGAACGAATGAATGAATGACAGTTGAGCATACGATCAAGCGAATAGAGGAAATAATGTTTGAACAAATGAACCAACGCAAAAGCATTACAAACAACCAGAAGCTTAATAACAAAAACACTGCAATAAAGAAGAACGAAATTCTAGCAGCCACTCTCAAACAACAATTCAAGGGCATCCAACAAAAAACACCATTTAGAAACACCAATGAAACAACAACATACAAAACGACATGCCGACAAAAAAACGACATACAAACAACATACAAAACACGCACAACATACAAAATTACAACATGCATACACCTAACAAATACAATGAACACAGAAACAACAAAAAACTTAAAAAAAAACAATATGCAAGCTACAACGTACAAACAACATACAAACAACAACATGCATACAATCAAAACATACAAAGAACACAGAAAAAAAAACAAAAAATCACAACAACAACATCAATATACAAACAATAACATACAAACAACAACATACAAACAACAACATACAAACAACAACATACAAACAACAACATCAATATACAAACAATAACATACAAACATCAACATACAAATAACAAAATACAAACAACAACAGAGAGAACATGGTAGCATATAGAAAACACTACTGAGATGCGGCAAACATAATTTTATGGGGTCACGTCCGTTTGGTCTCTACCTACATTTATATCATTCATTCGTTCATTCATTTGTTCATTCGTTCATTTATTCGTTCATTCATTTGTTCATTTATTCATTCATTCATTCATTCGTTCATTCATTCATTCATTCGTTTGTTCATTCATTTGTTCGTTTGTTCGTTCGTTCGTTCATTCATTCATTCGTTCGTTCGTTCGTTCATTCCTTCATTCGTTCGTTTGTTCGTTCATTCATTCATTCATTCATACATTCATTCGTGAATGGATAGATGGAATGATGAATGAATGAATAGATGAATGGATGGATGGATGAGTAAATGGATGAAAAGAATGAACATTTAAAAAAAATAATGTAGAAAAATTAAAAAAATTTATTTTTCATCAAATACGACTCTTTCTTTCCAATTGATTTCTAACAAAGGCGTAACCATGGGAAGAGGGTAAGAAGCTGGGGCCACCAAAAATAAAAAATTTTAGGGGGGTTAAAAAAAGCTAAAAAAAAAAAGCTAAAAAGAACAAAATCTTTATAAAAACTTGGACTAAGAAGAGTTTCAGTGTCTCACAACAATGGAATTAAGTTATAGCGAAATATGTTTTTTTTTAACTGCAATATGCAAAAAATAAAAAAAATTAAGAGCCAGTCAATCAAGTTTCTACACCACTTAATTTTATATTTATTAACAAATGGTTACGACAAATTGCACTCATCTAAATCATTACACAGGAAAAAAAGTTGAAAATATAAAATTGATTTTTAAAATAAAATAAAAAACAAATGGAAAATAAATAAATATAAATATATATTAATATAATGCAGTAATTTATGAAATTTACCGAATTTCTAGCGTTGGGTAGGTTTTTATTACATTTCTCAATATTTCTAACCAGATTCTAAATAATGATGACACGAATTTAGTTAGAAATATTGAAAAACGTGATAAAAAAAAACCTATCCAACGCTAGAAATTTGGTAGATTTTATAAATTACTGCATTAATTATGGTCTTTTACCAGTATATTAATATAAATAAACAAATTTAACATTAAAAATAGAAGTTATTGATATAAATAAATTTATAAATACAATAAACAATATAAATACTCAAAATATAAAAATTTATGAATATATGAATATGAAATAGAATGAAATAGAATTTAAGAAATCATTTGCGTGTGAGTGAGGAAATGTATTGTAAAAGATTCATCTCAGGGCAGATTCTGGAGTATTTAGCAAATATTTATAAAACGTTTTAACTTTTAAATACGTTACTCACTGGATGGGTATTTCATCTTTACTTACTTGTAAATAATACACTACCAACCAGTAAATCTTACTCTTTACTCTACTTAAGGGATAATTATCTACCTACCTACCTACCTACCTACCTACCTACCTACCTACCTACCTACCTACCTACCTACCTACCTACCTACCTACCTACCTACCTACCTACCTACCTACCTACCTACCTACCTACCTACCTACCTACCTACCTACCTACCTACCTACCTACCTACCTACCTACCTATCTACCTACCTACCTACCTACATACATACATACATACCTACCTACCTTCCTACCTACCTACCTACCTAACAATCAACTTGACGCCATTTCAATGTTCAAATCAAATCATAGAACAAACTATAATTTTAACACTTATAAAGTGATTGTCTAAATGTTTTAAATTAATTTTGAGAATTGATTTTAATAAAAATTAGTCAAAATAAAATTTGATATTTTGAATTGTGTGTGTATCTCTCTGTGGAGTGTGTTGTTGATTGTTTCAGATGTTATTGATCCTTCTCTAGCAACATTTTAATGGATTTTTTTATTTTGCTTGAAAACCTCATTCATTCATTTTTATCAAGAAACAAAATGAAATGATAATCTTTGAAATGACTTCATCTCGCTGATATTTTTATTTTTACATTTCTTTCGCTCAAAAATAAATAATAATAATAACAAGAATAATAAAAAAATAATTTTTTATTGCCTCTTATATCTGGTGAATCATAAATTGAATCAAGAAAATGTTTCTTCAACTTCTCGCACTCGCACTCGCTTGTTGCGGTCAATTCAATTAGATCCCCTTTCATGATGGCCGCGCAGACATAACGAGTTACTAACCCGGAGCTAGCACCGAAGTTTTCATTTGAAAACTGTCGTCAGATGTCTTTCTATTGAAGATGTTCTTCGGAAGGTGTTAGGCGTGATTGCTTGTCTAGTGTGTTGCTAGGAATTGTGTGGTGGAGTTGAAGTGGAGTTTGTTTGGTGGGTGGTTTGCGGCTGAATTGTGGTTGAGATTGTCGATAAATGAATGAGTTTGATTGATAATATTGAATAATTTTTTTGGTTTTCTTGTCATTTTATAAAAATTTCAACATAGCGCTTAATTGAGTTGTAACGCTCTGGTATTTTCTTTAGATTTGTCTAATATTTTCTAAAACATGATACTGGTTTTGAATTCAACATTTTAAGTTAGCTACAGTTTTCTAATATGGCAGATTTAAAAAAAACTATTTAACCGATTCTAAAGGGAAAATCTTTCAAGTTTTACTTGTAATGATTTAATCAATTTATGAGTTTATTAAAATATAAATAAATAATAATAACAGTAATAATAATGATAAACAGAATAAAGTGAAAAATAAAAAATAAAATATGATCAAGTGATGAGGGTATTAAGAAGCCTAACCTTGATGGATGACTGAGCAAAGAACCACGACCTGTCAGAGAGCGTTTGTATCATCAGCAGAAACTGATCAATGAGGAGGTACTGAGTTTCATCCGATCAACAAAATCGATTCCTTCTCGATCGAGCTAACTCAGTCGCAAACTATTTTCAGTACACCGAATGATAAGAGACCAATTAGGTTAACGAAATGCGGGCTTTATTTGTATTTCTATCGAAATTCTTCACTATACTTGGCGAATGATTGCTACAGCTCACAAGGCAATGACGTCATAAAGATACATTTTTTGAGGAGATAAATTTGGTTTGGAAGAAATTTGAAGGAGGCAGAATTAGAATATACTCTATGGTGTTATGTTTGCGGATAAAAAGAAACATGGTCAAAGTGGGAGCCTTCGGGGGATATTTATATGCTGGATTGAGTCGGTAACATCACAACTACTACTAACACTACTACTACTACTACTACCTCCACCACCACCGATACTACCACTACTACATCTAATACTAATACTACTAATGCTATTACTGTCTCGGCGACCACACTGACTGCTTCTCCGTGTGTTTGTTATGTGCGAAGTTGTTTGATTCCATGCAATAGATTCAAATCAGGAATTGAAATCCTCCGCCTATCTCTCTCCCCCTTCTCTCCCCCTTCTCTTTTC